CGCCAGTGTGACCGAGCATTCGCCTAAACACTTATAGATAAGTGCAACATAACAGAATCAAAGTCTGTTACAGAAGAAGCGCTAGTGTTAACAAAAAGAGCATGATAAACCTCACTTTAGCAGTTGTAGTTTTTATGTGTGCTGAAACAAAGCGGAAGCGGCGAAAGAGGGAGCATAAGAGCTTGAGGTAAGCAGTTTTATGTTGTAGCGCCATGTCGCATTTTTATTGGTGTGTCAGTAAACGTGGATGGTACCAGCGGACACACTGTGTGATGCTCATGCTGTATGGTGGGTAGGGATGGGTACCGAAACCCGGGATTTAATCGGAGTATCGATAAACTGTGACGTTAACGGTTCTGCTATCGGTACTGGAGAAATTAAGAAAACACACATACATTTATGATTGCTATATATACATTATCCTGCAAATTCTATCTCACCAGTCGCCAGCTGCTTTTCAAACATTTGTCTATGATGCATTTTTGCTATTCGCAATTCAGAAACGAGATCGCGCTCACGCGGAGGAGCTTCAGCGCGCGCAACATGAAAGCCCTGTTTAATTATGATAGAAGATAAGATCGCGCCCACGCGGAGGAGCTTCAGCACGCGCAACATGAAAGCCCTGTTTAATTATGATAAAAGAGAGAACTAAACATTGAAACATCTGCTTACACTTTATGCCTGTGGCTGTTTTATTAATCTAATTTAATTTTTTTATTTCGATTTTGGCTTCTAAGGATTATACAAAAGAAGACATGAGGTAAAGCTATTAAAAACTAGCTGCCAGACCCGGCGATCGGCTGAATGGATTCGAAAACGGTAAAACTCAACTGTTTAACTCTTGGGGAGTTGGAAAATTAGCCTATTTTCAAAAATAGTGGAGTGTTCCTTTAAGCATGTTTAGCTTAGTTAACGGAAGGCTACCTGCTGCCATCAGAGCAAGTGTAATTATTGCATTCACGCGCTCCTCGAATGCTCTCATTTCCGGAGTTGTGCTTTTAAGTCGGAATGACAATGTGAAAACAACATGGACACTCTCGTTACTACAAAGATGTGTTGGATTTGTATTATTAGAGCTTTCCGACTTGAGTTCACGTGCATTTTCTCAGTCGGGAAATTATTTTTCACGTGTGGTGCCAGTGATGATGCTTCTTACGTCCGTTTCAGAGAACCAGAGTACAAATATTTTAATTGATCGCTCAGGCATGGCACCGAAATCTGCATTCGGATTGAGTTCTAGTACATACCGGTTACATGGGTACCGGTGCCATATTGGTACCGGGTTTCGGTACCCAACCCTAACTATTTGTCTAAATAAATACAAAACACTAAAAATAAATCCAATCAGTATTTAATTTAATTTAGGCATGAAATTTAGATATTTGCTAAAGATTACATTTAACAGTGTTATTAAATTATTAATAATTATATTTCAAAGATAAACTTTGAGTGAGCGTTAAATGATGGCAAAGGTAATCTTAATGTAAAAATGATCATGTACAATGAAATATCCAATATCCACTGATACCACAAAAATAACAAATGTGTGGTACTATTGTGAAAAATGCAGCCTTTCTAAAAATTGTGTGTTTGTGTTACAGCATGGGTAGGAGGGTTTCTCTCCATCACTTTGATCAGTTTGCTGGCGTTAGTTGGTGTGGTTTTGATCCCACTCATGAACAGAGTTTGCTTCAACTTCCTGCTGAGCTTCCTGGTGGCCCTTGCAGTGGGAACTCTGAGCGGAGACGCTCTCCTCCACCTCATACCACATGTAAGACACAAACTTGCTTTCAAATTTAGTATTTAGTTGTTGTTTTTTTTAGTGGTCTGTGTTTTTACTAATATGATTGAATCATGGGAAGTCACCTGTGATTGCATATTTACAAATGCACATAAACTACCATTCAAACATTTGGGGTCAGTAAGACTTTTTAAATGTTTTTAAAAGTCTTAAAACTTTTTAAAAGTCTGCTCATTTGAATAAAAAAAACTGTAAAAGTAATATTATTACAATTAAAAACATCTGTTTTCTAATTGAAAACTGTTTCTGTTTTCTGTTGGATTTTAAAATGTAATTTATTCCTGTGATGCAAAACTGAATTTTCAGCATCAATACTCCAGTCTTCAGTGTCGCATGATTTTAGAAATCATGCACTTTAGAAATCACCCTTTGAAATCATTCCAGTATGCTGATTTGACACTCAACAAAACATTTCTTATTATTACCAATGCTGAAAACAGCTGTGCTGCTTAATTTTTTTTTTTTTTTTGAAACTGTGATACATTTGTAACTTTGTAAATGTCTTTCCTCTAACTTTTGATCAGTTTAATGCAAGCTTGGTGAATAAAAGTGTTAATTATGTTAAAAAAAAATCTTACTGACCCCAAACTTTTAAACATAATGGTAGTGTGTATTATAGACATGTTTTTCTCTATTCTACAAAATAAAATGCCAAAGGCATGTTATTTAAAATGTCCTGATCTTTGATTGGCGTCTCTCAGTCTCAGAGTCATCACCAGCACGGCCACTCTGAGCATCATCACCACGGTGAAGAGGTGGAAGAGGATTCCCTTCGGCCGGTGTGGACGGGGCTCACAGCTCTGAGTGGAGTGTACATCATGTTCCTCATCGAACACTTCCTGACCCTCGGCAAAATGTACAAGGACAAAAAACAGAAGGTCAGAAAAGCAAGTCTAAGATCTCCTATTTCATGTTATAGTCGCGTAATTCACATTCTTCTTTTAGCCATTTCAAAAGTCATAGTATTAATTTCCTAAATGTTATAATGACATGGATGTTGCATAGAGGTGTTCCTTGAATTTCTGTCATTTAAAATGTTATTTTTATGCTTGTAGGTGCAAAAGAGGGTTGATTTCACCACAGAAGTTTTGGAATCTGAGAAACTGCCGTCATTAGAAGACAATGATGTCAAGACGATTGAGGGTAATGCTGAAACAAATGGTGGAAGTGCATGTGGACGGGGTGTTGCGGAGGAAGAGGAGGTGATGTTGGGGGCAGAGCTCTACAATGATGTTGACTGTGAAAACAAATGCCACTCCCACTTCCATGACACAGTTGGCCAATCAGATGAGCAACATCATCATCACCATGACTATCACCACATACTGCATCACCACCACTCCCAGAACCACCACCCGCACACACACACGCACCGACACACACACTCCTACTCGCACCAGCACTTCCAGGAGGCCGGCGTGGCCACGCTCGCCTGGATGGTCATCATGGGAGACGGGCTTCACAACTTCAGCGACGGACTTGCCATAGGTACGTTTTACACACACACACACACACAGAACAAATGAAACCTTGGACGTGCAATACAAGTGTAAAAAAGTTTATGCATACAGTGTCCACTATACAGGCTTTGCTAAACTTGTTGGTGCACTTTTGAAACCACCTGTTTTTGCATGTATTTACAAATCACATGCAGGCTTTCACAACTTGTTTATATTTATATATAAATATAGAGGTTTTTTTTTTTTTTTTTTTTTAATTTTACAAATATTTTTTAATGTATACCTTTAAAATGCGTAATTTCTTTTTTATATCATATAATTTAATTTTTTTTTATTTATATAAATAAAAATATATTTAAATAAAAAAATCTTCATTTGTTCTCAGAGGATTTGGCAACTGTACATAGTTACAATTAGTTAGTTAATGCTAAATATGCATTTGTATATACTGTGCATATAATAAAATTGATGTGTAAAAAGTTTATCACAAAAAATGCATACCAAGGCTTTTGCATACTTTGGAACAGCATTTAAAGATATGCAATTTTGTATTTCAGGGGCGGCTTTCACTGAAGGTTTGTCCAGTGGTCTTAGTACCTCAGTCGCTGTGTTCTGCCATGAGCTTCCTCATGAGCTTGGTAAGACATTGTCTGTCATCACCGTGACAGTTTTGTTTGTCTTTAGAAATGAATCGGTGTATGGAATTGGCAAAGGAATCAGAAGTCAGGTTGTTGTTCATCACATTGCTTTGAAATGTTTTTTTTTTCATTTACGCAGGTGATTTTGCAGTCTTGCTGAAGGCGGGTATGTCAGTACGACAGGCCATCCTGTACAATCTGCTCTCAGCCCTGATGGGATATTTGGGCATGATCACAGGCATTCTGATTGGTCATTATGCTGAAAATGTTGCTACATGGATCTTTGCTCTCACGGCTGGGTTGTTCTTGTATGTCGCTCTTGTGGACATGGTGAGTAGCACAGAAACAGAGAAATGCTGTGATTGAGGAGGGCCCAACTATTAAAAGCATTCTGTTAATTGAAATACAGCTGACATAAAGTGAAATATTTAAATATAAACTAAAATCAAACTGAATTAATTTTGTTGGTGCAAAATTACTGTCTAAAATAAAAACCAAAACAAAATTAGCAAATTCAAATGAAAACTGAAAATATAAAACACCTTTTCAAAATATTAATAAAAACTGTAGTAGTATATAAATAATTGCAAACGAACACGGTTCTTTTTTTATTTTCAATATATATAGTATCTAATTACTGTATGTATTTTTAAGGGGAGGGGGGGAATAAATATAATAATTTTTTTTTTTTTTTTGCAACATACACATTATGGTCATTTGTGTTTACCTAGTTGAAACCGTGATCTCTAAAATGGACCTTTTTGTGTGTTTTATAGGTACCGGAGATGTTACACAATGATGCGAGTGAAGCAGGCTTCAGTCACTATGGCTTCTTCCTCCTGCAGAATGCTGGGATACTCCTAGGCTTTGGCATCATGCTTATCATTGCTGTTTTTGAGCAGAAGATACAACTTGACATTGGCTTCTGACCTGAGGACCATGCAGTAACAAGTTAAAATGTTAACAAGAACATCACTTCTAAAAACATCACTCCACAAAAACATCTGCTAACCTTGCTCTTTGACCCTGAATTTTGCTTACCTGGGGTCCACCTGTTGAAATGTCTGAGATCTGATTTAATCTGTGAAAAGGTGGCAGCAACTTAATATGCACGAATAATTATCATCTTATTTGTGGTTTGTGGGAGTAAAAGTATTTGTGTTGACTGTTACAATTTTTAGTATAAAAAAGAAACTTGAGCCACATTAAGAATGTGGAGGTGTTTTATTTTTGTTAGTGTTGTACAGTTGCTATTGAAGCGAGTTACATTTGTTCATTTTGCACATGCTGTCTCCAACATTCCAGTAAAGTATTGAGTATCCCATGATGCCTTTGTCTGATTTCTGTGTCCAAACTGTATTTGAACTTGCCACTGAGTGTATCAGCAGAGTATATACTGTAATAGTATTGAAGTAATATGCTAAAGATTGTACTTTACAATGTTATTAAATGGTTAGGTGTTTTTAAAGATGAAATTTAATAGGACGTTATATCACAGCAAAGATCATTTAAATTTAAATGAGCATGCATAATTAAGTTTCCAATATCAACTGATAAAATATGAAATACTGACCAGTAGTGATATTAAAAAACTAATATCAACCAGTAACCATTAAATAAGTAATAATGTGTGTACATTACTATTCAAAGGTTTGGGGTCAGTAAGATTTTAATGAATACTTTTAAGCAAGCATGCATTAAATTGATCAAAAGTGACAGTAAAGACTTTACATTGTTACAAAAATTCAGCTTTGCCATTACAGATTACATTTTATAACATTAAAATAGAAATCAGTTATTTTAAATTGTAATAATTTTTCACTTTACAGTTTTTACAGTATTTTTAATCACATGAATGTAGCCTTGGTGAACTTAGAGACTTCAAAAATATCAAAAAATCTTACTGACCCCAAACTTTTGAACAGCAATTTATTCAATATGCATTTTATGACTTTATGAATAATCCTGACCAAATTCTAAGGGTTAAAAAATAAAATAAAACAGCAGAAACATTTACCTTTTAATATTCAATGCTGGAATCAAGAAATTATTAGTCTAGATGATGAGCTGCAGACTGCAGTGCATGAAATCCCGTTTACTGGCATGTGCAGCCTTTGCCACTTTATTTTACACCCAGTGAAAGGATAAAATTGATTTATGAGAGGTAAGATGTTTGAAAAGCTGTCCTTACGTCACAGTAGCATATACAGTATCTGACAGAAGCGAGTACACCCCTCACATTTTTGTAAATATTTTATTATATCTTTTCATGTGACAACACTGAAGAAATGACACTTTGCTACAATGTAAAGTAGTGAGTGTACAGCTTGTATAACTGTAAATTTGCTGTCCCCTCAAAATAACTCAACACACAGCCATTAATGTCTAAACCACTGGCCACAAAAGTGAGTACACCCCTAAGTGAAAATGTCCAAATTGGGCCCAAAATGTCAATATTTTGTGTGGCCACCATTATTTTCCAGCACTGCCTTAACCCTCTTGGGCATGGAGTTCACCAGAGCTTCACAGGTTGCCACTGGAGTCCTCTTCCACTCCTCCATGACAACATCACAGAGCTGGTGGATGTTAGAGACCTTGCACTCCTCCACCTTCCGTTTGAGGATGCCCCACAGATGCTCAATAGGGTTTAGGTCTGGAGACATGCTTGGCCAATCCATCACCTTTACTCTCAGGTGTGTTTGGGGTCGTTATCATGTTGGAATACTGCCCTGCGGCCCAGTCTCCGAAGGGAGGGGATCATGCTCTGCTTCAGTATGTCACAGTACATGTTGGCATTCATGGTTCCCTCAATGAACTGTAGCTCCCCAGTGCCGGCAGCACTCATGCAGCCCCAGACCATGACACTCCCACCACCATGCTTGACTGTAGGCAAGACACACTTGTCTTTGTACTCCTCACCTGGTTGCCGCCACACACGCTTGACACCATCTGAACCAAATAAGTTTATCTTGGTCTCATCAGACCACAGGACATGGTTCCAGTAATCCATGTCCTTAGTCTGCTTGTCTTCAGCAAACTGTTTGCGGGCTTTCTTGTGCATCATCTTTAGAAGAGGCTTCCTTCTGGGACGACAGCCATGCAGACCAATTTGATGCAGAGGCCTGTTCTGAGTGGAACCTGTCCTGTTAAACCGCTGTATGGTCTTGGCCACCGTGCTGCAGCTCAGTTTCAGGGTCTTGGCAATCTTCTTATAGCCTACGCCATCTTTATGTAGAGCAACAATTATTTTTTTCAGATCCTCAGAGAGTTCTTTGCCATGAGGTGCCATGTTGAACTTCCAGTGACCAGTATGAGAGAGTGAGAGCAATAACACCAAATTTAACACACCTGCTCCCCATTCACACCTGAGACCTTGTAACACTAATGAGAAACATGACACCGGGAGAGAAAATGGCTAATTGGGCCCAATTTGGACATTTTCACTTAGGGGTGTACTCACTTTTGTGGCCAGCGGTTTAGACATTAATGGCTGTGTGTTGAGTTATTTTGAGGGGACAGCAAATTTACACTGTTATACAAGCTGTACACTCACTACTTTACATTGTAGCAAAGTGTCATTTCTTCAGTGTTGTCACATGAAAAGATATAATAAAATATTTACAAAAATGTGAGGGGTGTACTCACTTCTGTGAGATACCGTACATAGAAAGCTGTTCACTGTAATGCATCAACCCTGATTCAAACTGCAGTGTATACTGTATGTTTAGCTCATTCAAAGATGAGATTTTTCCATGGCAGTGTTATTTATGTATACTGCAGCTTGCATTATTTACAAAATCTTTGCATGCACCCTGTGAAAAAATGAAAGGAAAATACACAAGCAATGACCAGACGACAGTCACTCTCTATTCATTTAGTTCATTCATCCCTCTTCATACTGTCCCCTGGTTTTCTAGTTCTGTATCTGAAAGTGATTTGATTAGCAGGTGGCATGATGCCCAGACCAGCACGGCTGTTGTCTAGCATCGCCTCCTGCTGGTTCTCCAGCCACTGCATTTCCCACACGAGCAAAGCCACACACACAAACTGCTTCAGCTCATTCATCGCAAAAAAACGCCCTGGACACTGTGTGGCTCCAGAGCCGAAAGGCATACGATAGTACCGGACCTTCTGGCCACATTTATAAAAATCTGTTTTTTCCTTCCCATCCTCCACAAAACGGTCAAATTGGAAGCGCTACAAGAAACCACACACAAAAGACATTTAAATAAATACGTTTTCTAACAATAAAGAAGTATGTTTACAATGAGGTCTGCTAGGTGGATCTAGAGCAGTGATTCTCAACTTTTTGACTTCATGTCCCCCGTTGTCCATAACAGTATTCAAAGGTTGTGACTTCTAGTTGTTAAGGATTTATTGGATGAGTAATAAATTGTAATTTATTCCTGTGATGGTAATTACTCCAGTCTTCTGTGTCACGTGATCCTTCAGAAATCATTACAGTATGCTGATTTGGTGCTCAGTTATTATTGGTACTCAATTATTGATAATAATTCTTATTATCATCAATGATGAAAACGGTATTTGTTTAATATTTTTGTGGAAATCCTCAGATTTTTTTTCAGCATTTTGTTATGAATAGAAAATTCAAAAGAACAGCATTTATTCAGAACAGAAACATGTTGTACCATTCTTTACAAGTCTTTCCTTTTGATCAATTTAGTAATAAGTATTAATTTATGTATTCATTTCTTTTTTGAAATCTTACTCTCCCTAAACTTTTGAATGGTAATATATTGCCGTTTCCACAATAATATGAAGCAGCAAAAATTGTCTTCAGCATTGATAATAATTACTGAGGCTTGAAGTAAGAGGTGCTCTGGTTGAGAATCACTGATCTAGGCAGCTGCAGATGCATGTTACCTGAGGCTGATCGTATATTTCAGGGTCAAGGTGTGTGGTTTGTGGGTAAAGAGCAACAATGTCATCTTTTCGTAGGTTGATTGAATGCTGGGCATCCAGACGCAAACAGAAATCTTCCTGAACCACACGGATGTTCATTGATACAGAGGAGAGACGTAAACTCTCGTTTATTGAACTCTCTGTAGAGAGAAAAATACTTTGAACTTGAAAACTGGCATAGTAACTTCAAATCGATAGCACTGCTTAGACAATAATTAAAATGTGTTTGATGGGTTACTATGTAAGAATGTGTGTGTGTGTGTGTTACCCAGGTAAACCATCTGTTCTAGTTGCTGTCGTGTAATTGTGATGTCTTCTTCAAAGACCAACTGCATGTTCTTCTCTCCAACCACATTGACAATCTCTGCTCTCACTGCTTCAAGGGCTTCCGGGCAGGAGATGAGGTGGTAAAGACACCAGAAGGCTGCTGGGATAGTGTTTCCCACTGATGCCCACAGCATGGCAAAATGATGTGCTGTGGACAGAGACAGAAAGAAAGCTAAGTGTATGTGTGTGTAAACCATTGGGCACTGGTCCAAACCAATGCAGCAAAGTCATGATGAGCATTCGTTGTGTGTAATACTGTATTTGTTCATGCACATCCTGCTTCCAGCATTTCATCAGACAGAAACTGATGGCAAAAAGACCCTTTAACACAAGTCAATTTACAAGCCAGATATCAACAGTCATCTTGGCAACACCCCAAGGCAGGAATTTAATGTGGGGAACAGGCATAAGTCTTTTATACTTGAATGGGGAAGTACCGAAATCTCCAAAGCAGTTTGTCAAGATTATGATTCATTAAAACGAGTCAAATCAGCAATAATGTCTGACAATAAATGCTGCCTTGGCAACTACATGAAATAAAATACGTTTAATTTGAAGTATCAAAAAAGAAAAATCACTAAAACTGAAACTAAAGTGTGTGTGTGTGTGTATATATGGCGCAGTTGCGCTTCGGGTGTCCCGAGATCGAATCCCGCCTCGTGGACCTTTCCCATTCCCAACTCCCCCATTCTAACTCTCCCACTCACTTCCTATCATATCTCTACTGTCCTGTCAAGGAAAAATGAAAAGAAAAAAAAAAAAAAAGAGTAAAATGCAGACAGAATCGAGGAATCAGGTCATAAAAAATGTACTGTATAACGCGTATAATTTTGCTATTTCTACTAATAAAATTTGCATTAAAACATACATTTTAAGCAATATTTATTATAAAAATAATTTACCAGAAAAACAGTACAGTATTTCTGAAGAAAAAAAAATTAAAAGTAAAATAAAATAATAATTCATAATTTTTTATAAAATCAATTAACCAGAGATGTTTTTTGATTACTACAATTTAATTAAACAATTAAAATGGAATCCAGAAAATTACTGGAAAACACAGAATTTAGTTAAAAA